TATTCAAGAATACAGAATACATTTTTTTACATTTCCAGTTTACAAAAGTTTGAGACAAGGTTGGGTTTCAACATACAACCTCACTTAAATCTCTTATGCAACATCTCCATTTTAAGTTAACAAAATCCCTCAAATCAGAAGAAAAAAGGTACAAATGAAGGCCACAGTCCTCAACTGGGACATATTCAGGCAGAATGCAGCATGGTATTAAAAGTCTTTCTGCTGTCACATATTTCCACAGGTGCAATATAGACTTGTGTTACTAAAAAAATGTTTCAGATCTAGTATGAAGTGCAAGAAAAGAACAACATTTTAGTTCCAGGCATCATATGCTAAGTAGTTTCTGATAAGCAACAGTTAAAAACAGTACTTGCCATTTGATCACCATGTTAAAAATACAGTATTAAATTCTTCCTTCAAATACCCAATTTCAAATACTCATTAAAAAGTAAATTCAGTATGCTTTTCATGCTTAGTAGTTTTCTTATCTACTAAAACCATTTGTCTTAAGATGTCTAAAAAGTAAAGCATACAAGATTAACAAGCTGTAGCATTAATTAAAATGAAAGTAACCATCTCTTGACTCCATGCTGCTTCTAAATCTATCACAAGAGTGCTATTAGCTGTATCAAAGTGATGTAAATAAAACTGATTTGACTTAAAAGGAGAGGAAGAATGAATGCAGAATTATTTAAAAATTGCAACATAATGTTGTCATGTGTCACTGCAGACAAGAGCCAAGAAAGTTACCCACAGGCTCTCTTCTAGAAGTATAACTGCCAGTTTTCCATCAGCACGATACCAGAGAGGTAAATCCTAATTTGCTTTACAAGGAACTTCGGATTATTACTGAGCAGATACACTAATGGCCTAATTTTAAATACACAGCACTCTCATTCAGCAGTGGTTACAGACACTCAGAACTCCTGAAATTTATTTTTTTATTTTTCAATAACCCAAATCTTATTTCCAATAGGCTAATCCATATTCCTTCTTTTACTTCAAGCAGTTACTTCTTCACATTGTTGGAATCAAACACATTAATGCAGTGCTAAGAAGAACTAATTACAGTGGTCACCATTCGATTCATGTGTGGAATCAGAATTTGGCTCTGGAAGAAAACTTTAATCAGCTTTGCTTTTGCAAGAATAGGCCTTTGAAATAACATCAATTTCTTTATATATTAAGTATAAAGAAAAGCTCTTGGACTAAACTCAAAGTTTAAGAGCAATTGCAGACAACAGAACAATCAACTTCAATCTTACCAGCTTCTGAAAAGAAATGCTACCATAAGGTGTTTTGTGAACATGTAACTTGCAGTTTCCCAGGATTTCAAGCTCCTGGGATTGCACCCTTCGGTGAGGGGAAAAAACTGCTGTCTTAAAGACAGGAAAAACAGTCAACAGTCAGCAAGATGTTTATAGCAGAAATTATTGATACCCTCATACTGCACAGGGTACAGAAAAGTAACTTGGAATGAGATAAAAGGGACAAATTTGTAAAAACATTAATACCACCAACAATCGTGTCTAAGCACCTGGGATTAATAAAGGTATTAACCTTACTCATGTTTTCTTAAATTTTAAGCTATCATATAAAACTAATAGTGGTGTGTGTTTTCAATTTATTTAATAGCTAAAAGATATGTCCAACACTGCATAATAAAATTGGAGGGTTTAAAAGCTTTCCCCATGTAGAGATGGACCCTGTACAGCCTCTGAGCCCAGCACAACCTGGCAGCTGTTTCTGGCTCTACTGTTCACACCAAACCATTACAGCCTTAGAAACGGCAGCCTTAGGAGCTTGCAGCATTTTCAGTGAAATATTTAATTTCACCAGTGTGGTTGTTGCTACCACCCTTTCCCAAAGACTCCACTGAATAATGCAGTATAATGTTGTTTTAACACTACTAGAAGGTGACATGTTGCAAACAATTTCTGTGTGACACTACAGCAATTCACAAAGAAACTAACTAGCAGATCTGTTCTATGAACCAGACAATTGCACACACTGCCCCCTCCCCCACCCCCACCCTCTTAAAGTTTTAGTATGCCTTTTTGGAACAAGATACCAAACTTCTGTACTCCTCAAATTCAGTGGTCCCCATAAGTAACAGGAACAAGATTTGTTTCTCTTTTTGGTTCTCCTTTTGTAACATATGTTCTCAAAAATCTAAAATATTGCTTTAAAAAGACAAATATACACTTAGCTGGAAGGGAAAATGTCACACCATTTAGCCAGTTTCTTCCTTCTCTCTTTTTTTTTTTTTGTTTTTGTTGTAAAGTCTTATGATAATGAAGTAGTTACATGAATATATACAACCTGAAAGAGTATATATATATGTATTTTTTAAATATATATACACACATATATGACAGTGACTGACAGAAGGCAGAAGATGCAGGTAATGTCCTCTCTTTTTCTACTTCTTAACAATGCAAGGCAATATTTTTCAGATGCCAAAGGCAAACAATATTTGGTTTGCACACATCCTGGTGTCTTAGAGTATAAGTCTGCCATGGAAGGCTTGTGTGAGAGATACAAGCTGTGTAAGTTATGAGGGACACAATTATTTAGTTTCAGTAATACAGCCTTTTACAACTTTAAAACTCAAAAGATGTCTAAGTCTAATGAAAAAATACACACTCTTCAACAGTATGTTTTAAGTCCAATAAAATGCTTTAAAAACTGCAAAAGAAATGAAAAAAAAAAGGCTAATTCTGATACAGCATTATGTCTCACAGAGGCTAAGAACAACCTTAATGAAAGGCAGGAGGGATAAGCAGGGACCAGTGTTCTCAGAAGACAGCCCTGCACCCAGCTATGCACCTAAGTTTAACCTACCTGTAAAATAAAGGAAAACTGTCTGCTATGTGATAATGATGAAAGTCTACCTATCCACTCAGACATATAAATTAATTAGCCAAGTCCTGCTTTGTGAAGGACAGCATATTACATTACTTGAGCTCCCACCAAGGATGAGAACTGACCCAATCTTGTACATTGCCTTAAAATGACCTAAGAGAATCTTCACCAACTCATTTCAAGACAGGCTGCTGAGGCCTGTAATGAAAGGCTGTCATTAACTATTTCCAAAGTCAGCCAAGCCCATCAGCATTAGAATTCTCCAGTGCTCCCTACTGTGCCATCTCAGTCCTGGAACGAGACGCGCTTTTAAATCCACTTGAACCCTGCCTTCTACATACCACAGCAGTAGACTCCAGAGCTGAAAAAAAAACCACAACAAACCAAAACAAACAAACAAACAACAAAAAATCAAAAAGTTTTCAGGTGTATGTGTGGGAACTGAGACTGACCTCGAGTCAGTCCTTTTCTTACACTAAACCTCAAAAATTTTTGGGTTCTGAGCAGATAACCTTGGATGAAAGAATTTGCCTTAGAAAGATGGGCAGGAACAGAGCAGGTGTGGCCAATCAGCTTCCTCCATTAAACAGCAAGGTCTGTTTATAAGGAAACTGGTTCATTATATGGAAGAAAGCATGGGAAATGTGTCTGACAGACAAATATAAATAACTTTTCAAGGCTAATTTCCCTCAGGACAAGGGAAAGATACTATACTGTTTTCTGTATACTGAGCACAAGGATTTAATTTCACAGCTCACCTTCCCTCTTGGCACTCTGAATACCTTCATCTCTGAGATGCATTCACATGGGTGATTCAACATTGCAGTGAAACACACTTCACAAGAGACCATTCGAAGAGTTAGGACAAAATAGACACAAATAATTCTGTATTTGTGCAGGAGTGAGAATTTCTACCAAATAAACACAAATAATGGCAATCTCCATAAAAAAACAATGCGAAGTGAAACTTTGACATTTTAGAGTTCTACTAGTGCAGCAGAACTAAATCTATGCAATACATCACTTCCATACATACACACAGTATTCATTAGAATGCATGAATGCATGTATGCAGACCAGGCCAACAAGCCTAACACCTTTCACTACGTAACCTGCTTTCAGTAATTTAAAAAATATAACAAACTGGTCATTCACACTAAAGCTTTCTATGATGGGTGTTTGTTTCAGGCTGGTTTTGGTGTTCAAACTTCACCTGAAACAGTTTGGGGTTTTTTTGTTCATTTTTTTGTTTTGTTTTGTTTGGTTGTTGTTTGGGGGGGGAGGTTGGGTTTTTTGGTAGTTTTTTCGTTTTTTGTTGTTTTTTCTTCTTGAAGAAGGAACAACACATGGACTACTGTTTTGCCACACTTGAAAAGAAGTCTTGTGCTTGTTTGTTAAGAAGCTTCAATGCCTCTATACTCAGCCTTGAAGTCTGACACATAAGCTAACCTTTGTGGTGTTCCTGAGAAAACCCATGCAAATTTGGCCTAGGTATTAGCATCTGGGAAAAACTTCTTTTTGGCTCAGTTAGAGTTGTTGCATCCTCACAAACTCAACCTTGAAAATTACATTAATACTGAGAATTTACCAGACCATGAAAAGAAGGGACAAGTAGGACATTTGTTCACTTCCAAGTGAGATAGCATTGGGCACCAGACCTAAACTGTGCTTCAGTGACCACCAGTTGGCACTAGGCAGTAAGAAGAAACAGCTCACATGTCAACAGGATGGGAGGCAGTCTGAAACAAGAGTCCCTCTGGCATAGTATTTGTGTGCAACCTCTGTATATATTATACATGCACATGTATAAATTCATATACAGTAAAAAGTCCAAGAAATACATCACATGAGTTTTTTGTCACACCACTGATGTTCAGACTCCTACTAGTCTGAACCATAACTTGCTCACAGAAATATTATGGAGAGCTGAAGTGATTCTAGGTTTAGCTCTCACAGTTCTGTCTTTGGTGATCCCAAAATGCTGAATTTAACTTAGTGTGGTTTCAAATCAAGTCATCATTCAGGCATATGTTCCCCTGCCATCTATTAGGCACAGCAGATTAACTCATACAGACTTGAAATCAAGTAAATGCCTTCCTGCCCATCCGCAATACTGAAGCAGTTACATTTATCTTTCACAAATGTGGTTGAGAATCACTTTGATCTGCTGTCCTCTCAAGAAGAGTTCTGTGGCCATCCATGCCGTCATAGACGTCTCTTGTACAAGTGCTGGCTGTGCACAAAGGGCTTCCTGCCACAGGGGTTTCTGTAGTCACCAGGCTTCTTGTTTGAGATTGGTAAGGGGGAAGGTCTGGCTGACTAAGGGATTCAGAAAAATAAGGTGGTGGAGGAAGGTCAAACCAAGGTGGTCTGCTGTAAGATACACAACATAGTAAGAGGTTACTGAAAACAGTGATACAGAAGAAAGTACATTGTTTCCCAATTATGAAAAAGAACAGAGTACTGCATAGCATTTCCATGATGATATGTACCAGGAGATTTCAACTAGACCTACAAGAGTAAGAATTTTTCCTGTGTAACATTTAAACAAACTGAAAAAGTGATTTAAAAGGAATAAACTAGTGGATTTACATCTACACATAATGATGAGAACACAGGAAAGCTCTGAGGAAATCTCCATTGATTAATGGTTTATGGCCTACAAATAAATAGCAAACTGAATTCTCCACATTACACAAATCTTTTGCTGTTTTGATATCACATGCAAAGAAACTGGTAAGTAGGCACAGATGAGTACTGAATTCAGGAAAACTGTTTATGTTTCTGATAGTAGGCTTCTGATATATAGGTTGGAACTAGATGATATTGTAGGTCCGTTCCAACCCAAATGATTCTATGATTCTACTTATCACATATGACCAGGGTAATTTCTTTTTAAATAGTATGACCTAAAACGTAGCTGTTTTTTGGAAAAACTTCAAATTGAATTTTAATGTTTTGATTCCAGACTGACACAGGACATCACTATGAGACAAGTGACACATTTCTTCACATTCTCCTGCCATCCTCAAAATCTCTACTACTAACAACACATGCTAAAATAGCACTATTTAGGATTGCCTTAAATCCCTTTAATACCAGTAACTGTAAGGGGATCTGAGGATACTGAATTTTTCATATGCAGGAGAAGCTCATATTTGCCTGAATTTTGTTTGTGACAGAATAGCAATGCTGTACAGTTCTATCAAAAGCAGTAACAAGGACAAACGAAGAGCAGAAGCACAGATTATCAGATCTGCAACGAGTAATCTGAAACATTAGTGAGCACAGAATTAGCTCCTGTACATACCTTTGGTCGAGCACAGCCTCTGAATAAGATGGTGGAGACTCCAAGTCCACTGGCCTGTCATAGGCCTGGTTTGACATATATTGGATCCCATTATTGACGTTATAGGTGATGCTACAGTGGTGCGGGTGGTCAAGGACCACCAGCCGGGACAGCAGGACCGGGTGCTGCAGTCGATGCACTGGCAGGGTCATGAGATTGTTGCGTTTTCGCTGGTGATGCAGGACTAAGGCAAGAAAGGCCACCACGAGTACGAAAATGACAGAGCTACCAATTACAGCATAGGTAATACTAGGGTAGTAAAGCAGCTGATTTTCTGAGGTCACGTAATCTTGGCCGCTGCCTGCCTCTGCAAGACAAAAGGAAAAGGAAGGCTGAGATTTGCTTCAATATAAAACCACTTGTAACCTATACTGGGTTTTCTGCTAACACACTGTGTGACTAAAGCAAGTTCTCCTTTTTTCTTTGGATTGTGGAAAATTAGCTTATTAAAAGCATATAGAATCATAGAATCCTAGGGGTTGGAAGGGACCTCAAAAGATCATCTAGTCCAAACACATTTTCAAGCATCACAGAAAATAACTTATGCATCACAGATTGACTGACTATCACTCAGTCCATCCTCACCCACTCTAAGTGCCAGCAGA